TCGTCCCAGCTTTTCGAGATTCATGACGTGTTCCATATATGTATGCTCCGGAAGTATGAACCTAATCCTTCACATGTGTTGGATTGGACTAAGTTAGAGGTAGATGAGGATGTCTCATATGAGAAGAGACCGGCTAGAGTTTTAGATACTCGGGACCAAGTCTTGCGAGACAAGACAATTCCATTGGTAAGGTGTTGTGGAGACCCCACGAGGTTGAGGAGGCAACTTAGGAGCACGAGGCGAAAATCTGTGAGAAGTATCATCTTTTTGTTAATGTTTGAAAATCTTGTTATGTTGATTAAATGTGAACATTGTCTATGTTTTGAAAGATTGAATTGTATATTCAGCATTGAAAACTTGTTATCATTGTTTTGAGAATGAATGATCGGTGGATGGATCATGGTTATGAGTTCGACTTGTTATTATTGTTGTAATTGCTTTAACACGGTGTTGTTGTTTGTTAAAAAATGTCGGGGACGAAATTCCTTAAGAGGAGAGGTTATAACGATTCTGGTTTAGACCCGACTCATTTATTGTTTTGAATCTGGGATTTCTTATCTTAAATGGTTGTTCATACCCTTTTACATTCTGTTCTTGATTGAGTTTGGTTATTCGGATGTCGTTGTTGCGTTTAGAATACGTTGGGAGTCCGTTTTTCAAAATAGTCTTTGCCTAGATTTTGGTCAGTTCGCTCGAGCGGTATCACTTATTTTGTCTGATCACTTGAGCGGTGTTTTGGTCGGTCAAGCGATCTACGCGTACATCAGTCCGAGAAAGTCACTTTTTGAGTCATTTTCCCATCTCTCTCTCTCTCTCTACATTTCAAAACCCCAGATTTTCTTCCTCTCTCTCTCTCTCTAGAACTCATCTTTTACCTTCAAATACACTATCATCCATTAATCTCTACACCCTAGTCCCTTTAATAAAGAGGTAGAGCTCACCTACAGTTTCATTTTAACCAAAACAAAGTTGATTTTCTACTTCACCGGGGGTTTCTTCTCTCTCTTGCCTTCTAGCTTTAAGGTAGAGATTTATCCACACTTTGGTATAGTTTTTAACTTAGTTATTTGCTTTTCTAAAAAATATTGCAACTTGAGAATTTTTGGATAAACCTAGGATTTTGGCTTTGAAATCAAAAGATGGGTTTTCAAAATGGTTTCTTGGAAATGATTGTAGGTTTGTAAATGTGGTTGAGTTGTGATAAAATGATAGATTTTTATCCTTGGAATTGATTTATAAAGAAAAGAGAATTTTTTCATAAAATGTGAATATTTGATTTTGTAAAGAGGAAACAGAAATGATGATGGATTTTATGAAATTGGAATGATGATTATGATGATGATGATGGTAGAGTTGGATATCCATTATCACTCCCATCTTGAAATTTTGAAAAATTTATCTTTATTGAAAATTATCTATCTGTTTTGAGCTATCGGTGGAAGATAGTTATGATTATTGCAGAAATTATATGAGAATTAGGAGAATTGAAACTAATTTCTCACCACTTGCATTGAGTATTGTTGCATATTTAACACATTGAAAATGTATATTGTTTTGAGAAAAATGGGTGAATACCTTAGTGAATCTGTGTAGGAGGTGTGGTTGTGGTTTATTGTTGGCCTGTGTGTCCCTAGTGAAAGTCCATAAACCCGCGCGGTGAGATGCCAAGCCTTCCGATTAGTACCGGTAAAAATAGCATTGGTAGTGCTTGTATAGCCTGCTTGCGGACACGTACCTAGAGATTCCACGTGCTTGTATCCACTGCCCTGTTTTCTATTGTAAAGGAAATGTTTTTATGAATTGTGATATAAACCTAGCATTGCATGGTTTTGGAAAGAGATATAAAATGTTTTGGCACAAGCATTGCATATGCATTCACCTTATATCTTTGTTAAGATTCATACACTCCGTTAGAATATCTCTACTGGGATTTGACTCACTCTATGTGGAAAATCATTTTCAGGTGCTGATGGCATGCCTCCGCTAAGGCTATAGCTTGGAAGGACTGGGAACCAAGAGCTTCTTTTTGTTTTTTTTTTTTGTAATTATTTTTATACAAACCTAGGGCTCAAATTGTATTGAGTTAAAACTCACTTTTGTTGAAACCAACCACCGTATTGGAAAGTTGTAGCCATTAGGACATTTATTTATTTGCTTAACTATTCTTTCATATCAATAATTTATGGCACATGCTATAGATATAGGGTTAAGATTAATAAATGTATAATTGCATATGTTACCTATTGTACAATGGAATCATATAAATGAAATGATACTATATTCAGAATTGTATTATTATTTAAAAATTGTCATGAGATGAATTATGGTTTTTAGTTCGAGGTGTTACAACTAAAAAGTTGGTATTAGCAGGGCACAGAATTAGGAATTTTATGCGGAAGGAGCCAACATATATGTATAAAAAATACTGAATTAGATTTGGTACAATATTAATTGAATATAATTTTTTGCAAAAGAAATATTTTACAAGAAAATTAAATAAATCTAGAAAATATTTTTTTCCAGTTTTGAACTATTAGATTTCAATAAACAATTGGTTAAATCACTATTCTAAGCTATTTTATTGATTGATATAATATAGTAAATAAAAAGTAAAAAATGCTTAAGACTCCTAAAATGTGACCATTAAATTTACACTCAATGATGTTGAATGTTACATGTTAGTTGATTTGTTTAGATATCAATCGGTTAAGACCTAATCCTCCAGCCATGTCATTTAAAGGTGAAGTTTTATGTTTTCTAACATTACTCATAAAAAAGTTTACATACCATTTAATTTTTAAAATTTTAAAAATAAGTGACGTAGATCTTTTATATTAATAAAATCAACTCGATAAAATTGATACTATTATTTAAAATGTGAAATAATTAGCGATCATTTCATTAGACTCTCTCTCTCTCTCTCTCGTGAATTTCTTTATACCAAATAATCTAATTCGGTCACAATCAAGAAAAAAACATTGCAACGTGAATGTATTCTCCACAATAACCTAGGAATTCATTTTAATTATGAAGATGATATTGATATTGTAATTGGAAAAACAACCACATATAATGTCGATCATCTTAGTTTTTACTAGACAATAAATGAAAAACATAACTCATGGGAAACAATGTAAGGCAAAGCACATTCTTTTATGAATGCATAACACGACCTTGCATTTGTAGTTAAAAACAACAATGTGAGGACAGGGGCTTGGTCCAAATTGGAGAACGAGTTCACCAAACAAGCCACTAGTATTCATCCTCAGCCAAGATCAAAGATATATATTGTATTAGTTGTTGTTTCATTGAATTTGTTTCACTCGCTCCACAAGGACCAACATCAAAAGAACACTCATTCTCTTTTCTATCAAGTGGATAGGTATAAACAAAAAGAAAAGGAAGACAAAAGGATTAGATAATCATCTTCTTATTTGAAAAGATCAAAAAGGAAGACTGACTAATTAGGGGAAAACGGGATACTGTTGTGCCCAGCAATTACTGTTGTGCTCTTTGTGAGAGGTCGTCCAGAGTGTTTTTTAATGATTTGAACCGTTCATATTGTAAAATTCATCAAGTAGATCATCCATACAAAAAAACAAGTTGATTGGATATCTGCAACCCTATAACCAAAGCCCATTTGTTTTTATAAAAATTAACGGTTAACCTAACTTTCATAAATTTTTAAAAACAATTAGGACCTAATTATGGGGATATGAATATCTGATTAACTTGATTTTTTTACATGAATAATATTCTTGACGAACCTTACAATATGAACAGTTTAAATTATCGAAAAACACTCGGGACGACCTCCCACAAAGAACACAATAGTGACTGTTGTGCCTTAGGTACAGCAGTATCCTCGTTTCCCTAATTAGGGACATGCCCTCCAGATAGAAAGAATTTCACGACTGACAATATACATACCGCATTTAATTACTTGCTATTTTCTCTATACAAGGGGCATGCCCTCCAATTAAAAGGAATTTCACGATTAACAACATACATACGGATTTTGATTGCTAGTTATTTTCTCTATACAAGCCAAATGTCTACATTTTTAACTCTAGAAGGATTATTCTTTTGTAATTTTACATCTAATGGTTTTGGTAATTTGATCAAGGAGGAAAATGGGTTGAATTTGAAAATGGTTAACAATTATTTACTCTAGTAGCTCAACTATCCTGGAAAATGGGACACGTGGTTGTCCCCTCGCTTGTCCACTTCACATCCTTCCGTTCTATCCTGCTGCCATGCTGAGGAAAATTAGAACTAACCACCAACCACCACTTATATTCTAGGAGACAAATCAGCCACCTCCTGGTTTACCAAGTCAACCTTATCCAATCAATAACCATCCAATAATATGGGTTGACCCAACTTAAACATGGCTCTTACAAATCGACCTGAATCTGAATCCAGATTCGTGGGCCCCTTTTTGCCATGTGGCAGCCTCCTATTGCCCGTGCCAAATAGGCTACAAAGACCTATGCAGATCATCTTCTCAACTTTGTGATCCATCTTATTCACATAATTGAAGCAAAAAAATCATTTTTGCAGTTTTTGGCTTGCAAGCTAAACATTCAAACTTCATCACAAAAGAGGCAAAGTTTAGATAATTGAATTGTCATGAATAGATGTTTGAAACCTAATAGGTGAGCATAGAGGGGAACAAGTAGAAATATATGCTAGGAGTTAAGCTCAACCATGCAGACAAATGAAGAAAAAGATTAATTATGGATACAATTCTTGGGCAAAGAAATAAATAAACCAAGGTTTTAACGCTGATAACAAATTAAATCCTAAGTTTTTAATTACTTCAATTTAAATCCTAAGGTTTCAATTTGATAACAATTTAAACTATCCCTCCTCCGTTGAAGACACTAACGAAAACGGTTAAATTTGTCAATTTACCTTCCATAATTATACACGCACACTTACATACATCAGATATTTTATATACATAGACACATACATATATTACATACACCATAACCTTTCAGCATTACCATTGCCAAAATCTCTTTCCTCAGAAAGCCATTAATCAAAACCAATCAACAATCATCTTTATCACTAATGGTCAGACAAATCAATAATCTAGTCCCATTATATATACTATGTTCCTGCCATTGCCTAAGATTAATCTTCAAGAAGCATACGAAAGAAAGGGGAGATAATTGTTTTCCAATATTGGTGGTGTGGTTATGATGTCGTAGATTCTTGATAAAGGGAATCTAGATTTGGTGTGATTAAGTCAAAGTCAAAATTTACATAAAGGAAAAAACAACAAATATGCTATTGCCACGTGTATCTTCAAATTCTTTTTCTGTTATAAACGACTTACGAAAGAAGTTCAAAATCTCAAACTTCTCATATCGATCATCAGGCGGTAACAAGAACGTACCATTGTTATGAGTCTCCATATATAGGAGTCCTTGAGATTGCAAGTTTGCTGTGACCACCTTAACCTCAGATGAACAGTGTTGCAAGCCCATAGTTCTCATCTACTATCATGGCCATGGTCCCATTCTGTACATAATAAAACAAAATCAACAGTATAGAGAAAAAGTCAATAAATTATAGCAAATAAACCAAAAGCATAAATCAAGTGCCTCGTGAAAAAAGTCAATAAATTATAGCAAATAAACCAAAAGCATAAATCAAGTGCCTCGTGAAAGATAACACATTCAAAAAACAAAATGGTCTGAAATTTTCAAAAATAATATTTTGAGTTTTCGATTTGTATTTTTATATTTTTATAATTTTTTTAAATATTTTAATCAATTTTTTTTTTCAACTTTTTAGATCAACTTAATCTTGATATACTTAAAAAGTAAAAAATTTGTACAAAAATATTTAAAAATTCATTGAATACAACAAAATATGAAAATATACTAAATTTTTGTATTTTTTTATATTTGGTGAAAAATATTATACTTTTTCAGTGTAACTATATTGGTGTATCTAAAAAATAAAAAAATTACATAAAATATTAAAAAAATTCACAAAAAAATAAACGAAAAATAAAAAAACTCAATTTTCTGAAGAGTGAGTTAAACCAGACAATCTTGGTGCTCAAACCTGATAGACAGCCTCCAGAAATTAACAGAGGAAATAAATGGAATCTCAATTGTCAGAGAGCCAGATGTTCGGTTATCCCCATCAAGGAATGCAAAAGGGAAAATAACCGGAGGATCTTAGAAGTCTCGTGCTTAAATTTACTGCTAAACCTAAAGCATCCCATGATCCAAGCTTCCCATAACTTTCATCAAAAAAGCATATTCGTAAGTTGTTTCCTCGCATTGACCGAAACGGCCTCCTTCACCAAAATGTCCTCCACTCATATTTGTCTTCAGGATGACTGAACGAGAACAGCATGAACAAGTAATATCTCGTACTTTGGCCACCCATTTGGCAGCTTCCCAAACACCAACTCTGAGAATGAACAGATGCTACCAGTGTAAGTTTGTTGATATGTAAGTATGCAAGCATGTGAATTGTTTGTATGAATATACATGTAACTGCATGCTGTATGCAAATGTTTTAAGCATAAGCTCAGGCATGAGATATATAGATTTGCCTTGAGTCATGAAATGATGCTGTGACGAGTACTGAAGGACAGCAAACTCCTCCAGGTATATTTTCATACGGAGAATACTGCAAGATAGACTCCAACTGGGATTGTATCTGAGGATTCCCAAATTCTTCATAGTCCAAAATGGTGAGAGGCAAACTGGGATCCAACAATGTATTGCATATATCAAGAAATGGAACCTGGTACAAATATTACAGAAACATGATTATTCCCTTTAACAAAAATCAGTGCTTAAAGTCAAACAAGAAGAGAAGAAAATAATGCTATTTAGCAGGATTAGATACCATCTATGAAGCACCGACACTTCAAAACAAGTATTTTATCTGTGTCGGACACACAAACACTTTGGGGACACATCACATGGCGTGTCCCCTTATTTAATTAATTTATTTTCAGGGGACACACTAGGGACATGTCTTATCTCTCATTTTATTTAGTACTTCTGATGAATGTTGAATGTCGAATGTCTATTATTTTTTTCTTAGATTTAAATGCTTAATAAATTATCCATAAAAAAATACATAAACCCTTAAGCATTAATTTAGAAGTATTTTTTTTATAATATATATTTAGAATTAGAATTAATTTTTGTTAATATTAATTGTTTGTGGATGTAATATTAATCTAGATAGCAAAGAAAAATATAAAAAAATATATTTTATTGTCGTGTCTCCGCCATGTCTGTATCCCCATTTTTTTTGAAATCGTCACGTCCCGTGTTTGCATCCATGTCCGTGTCCATGTTCATATCCGTATCCGTATCCGCATTCGCAGCCGTAACCGTGTCTGTGCTTCTTAGGATACCATGCTCCCTACTACCAATGCTAAGAGACAAAATAAAATCCCGAGAGAATTGTAATGGCCATATTGATTTTCCTTCCCCAAGGATAATGTAGAGAGAACCCTTTCCAAAATATGTTACACAACTACATAGCCCATGGGCAAAATATGATTCAATCATAGTTCTTTTACATTTTGGTTTTCCCTTTTCTTTATCTTGACTAGCAAGATTAGGTATCAATATTGGAACTGATAATGATAAATTTGGTTACCTTAGAACATAAGAATCGACAAAGGATAGTTTGAAATTTTTCTTTACAACCATAATAAAACCCCAAAAAGGTATCCTAACTCTTTTTTTACCTCCATCTTTTAACCAAACATGCAGAGAATAAGGATCCAGGTCGCAAAAACCCACATATTCTAGTCCAATCTATAACACCGAATCAGATTTCTGAAAATGAAATAGCAACTACTTTCCAGTAGGAGCTTACCTTCAAAATGGCAGCTCGAAACAATTCTGGATATGTATTGATTGCTGCCCCCACAAGGAGACTTCCTGCACTACATCCAACAGCACCAAGCTTATCTTTGTGAACATAGCCCTCATCAACCAGGTACTTTCCACATGACAAAAAATCATATACAGAGTTCAATTTGTGCATTCCACTGCCAGACTTGTGCCAAGAAGGATCAACGCCGCCGCCACCCCTGCTTGCATAAAAACATGAGAGTGAACCAAAAGTCATATACAGAGTTCATGAACAAGTTTGTTTCAGGCAAAGAAGTATTGAATCTTGATATGGCTAGGCTTTTAGTAAAATAAAAAGTCTGTTAGTCAATATAGGCATGACCTGTACTCTGCAATCTAATAAAAATTACAGTTATTTTTGTGTTAGTGTTGATGAGTGTTGCACATAGCATGAACTAGTCTTGAACCCAGTATTGCCTAGAATGTGGATCATTCTGGTATGAGAAATACGAACGGAAACGTGGAACGCCACATGCTCTCTAAAATGTGGCGATATGGGTAGACTTCTGAATTTGGCAGCCAATACATTTTAGTGTATTTTTGTTTAATTAATTATTCAACACAGTTCTCTGAGTATTATGAATTTATGACACATTGTTTTACATTTTGTCAATCCAAAACTCATCTCCATCTTGGCTTTAGTTCATTATATTTGACTTTTTCTCTATCAAGGAGAATTTTTAATGAAAAACATAGAAAAGATTATAGGATCACTTTGGATAGTTAAATTCAACGTTTTAGAATGAAAGTGTACCAAAGTTTTGGAACATGCGTTCAAAAACATAAATCGCTAAGGTATTAGCATTCTCTAGTAATACTACTTGCACCCCTTTCTTTAATGGCTTTTAATGAACTGTCTTTATTTTAAAACCAAATACATGTCCATATAAACACCTAAACACATGCCACGATAGAGGCTCAGCAAGAGGCTCAAGTTTAATCATCACACGTTCCTCAAACAGCATGAGTCAATTATGACTGGGATTTCTCTAATCAACTCCCAATTATTTAGGGTTGGCTTTGTTGTTCTACTTTTCATTCCATAAACAATAGCCATTGTTTTTAGTCTTCTCCCTACCCCTACAGCATCTTCAGCAGAAGATCCTATGAAAGATTTATTCATTGGTTGTCACCCTACACTCTCTGGGCTTGTGACTGGCAGTATTATACAGGGAGCTTTTGCATTGAAATTAACATTTCCTGAAAAAGCCTGTAAACAACTAAAAGATGTATGCCCAGTTGAGTCCCCAAAGATGGGAGTCTAGCAGGGGTAGATTGGGTACAGATTTGGCAATATTTGCACAAAGTGGTTGCCTCAGGTTTGAACCCTCCTCAAGGCTATAAATAAACTACCAAATCAAAATCCCATATTGACTGGTTTGACTCTTTTCAATCTTTGTCAATGCACATAGAAAAAACAAATAAAACATAACATAACATCCTTGATATAACTGACCTTACATCAGCAAATGCCACGACCCAACCACGATCCAACAAACTTAGACGATCTGCACACCAACTTTTATCAAGAACTTCCCCATACGCTCCATAGCCTAGTAGAAGCCCAGGAGACTGATCTGTTTGGTGTGTGTTTTTGGAGTACAATATGGTCAGAGGAACACTAACACCATCATGGGAAAGGACTTCCTTTCTTTCACACAAATATGCATCAGAGAAGTCCTTGCATGTCCACATTTCAGTATTCTGGATAAATTTCTCCTTGTCCTTTGAGGTGTCTAGATGCTCATTAACTTCTCTGTCAGAAGTCTGAGAAAATGATCCAGTAGTAGTAGTAGCTGAAACACCTAGTACCTCCTCTTGCTGCACAATTGAGAATGTGCGTCTCGACATGTCATAATCAACAATTACATCAGGCATCTGCAGTTCATAAAAGAAAAGAATTAGAGATCTAGGAGTTGCCTCAATTGGAACACCAATCCCTTTATCTATGTCACTTCTGCAACTGTTGCAGGTCAGAATCAAAGACAATATGCCTCCCAACAAGTGATTAACTTTGTTAATAAGAAATGTGCTTGTACTAGGTGTTTTCAACCTGGTAGTAGTGAAAAATTTACTAGGGTCCAAACGTGTGGTATTTCAAACATTAAAGCTAGTACCTAGAAGTTATATTTTACCTATCAATTTACTGAAAATACTAATGTAAGTAAGCTGAAAAAATGAAAATGAAAAAGAAATAGCAGGTCATACTTGTTGCAGCCTAGCTCAATTGTAGCTTCCATTTTCTGTTAGGGTTTAACTGAAAATGTTGTTACTGAGCGCCTAAGCTACCCCAACATTTATTCAGATTTAGGTTCAACTAATTCTTCGTCAACATATAACATGCAACGTCAATTGAATGAATAGCCCAAGCTCTAAAATAACAAGAAAATTCTTGGGATTGACAAAATCTCACATTGTGGAAAGGAAACATTTTTTTTTTTTTTGTGACAAATAATCAAACTTTATTAGAAAAGCTTCAAGACGATGCAACGAATACAAAAAGTCAAACCCACAAAGGGCACAGAAACTAACTAATCAAACTATCCACAAAATGTGGAAAGGAAACAAATCACAATCCAAACAGCCCCATCCACATCACAAACTGAAAGAGAACTGGTTTTCACAAGTTACAATGCTTAAAAATACAATTGAATTGAGAAATTTAGATTAATTCAAATATCCTTTTTTAAATTATGAAGGGACAACAAATAAAGGATGAACATCAAAGTCTGTGATTTTGAACCTTGACAACAAGAGGTACCACTTCCCATTAACTAAACCACTTCATGATCTCTGTTTCTGAACCTTGAAAACAGCTGTCTAATTTATACGGACAAGATCATATCAAAACAGTTAGGTAGTATTTGGTTCATTCAAATGAAAGTGGAGTGGAATGGAATGACCATTCCCTAGCCTCCCTACGGAATGAGTTACCAATGGTAAATGATAATTGTTAGAATATATGTTAGGATCATTCTATTATTTGTTTCCTTATTTAGATTATATTTTGATTCCTTAATTAGTGCCTTAAGACTTTCTTATTCTATTAGCTGTTATTTCCTTATTCCATTATTTCCTTATTTGTGCCTCCAAGGTTTCCATTATAAGCTACCTATTATCAATATAAAAGGGGGTGATTGTCTAATCATTCTCTAAGTTAGTTTTCTCTCAAATAAACATGGTATCAAAACCAAAACCCTAAACCCCATCACTTACACAGCCACCAACCACCATCAATACACCACCCAACCACCACCCGTCACTACCCAACCTATTCCAGACCCTGTTGGCTCCAGCAAAAGACCTCCAGCTGCTGTTCAAGGCCTGTCAAGCTCTTCTATCTCTTCTCTAAGTGGTCTCAAACCAGCCGACACCCATCCTAGGGTTTTTCGGCTCAAATCGACACCCATCTAGGTATCTTCAGGCTTCTTCCATGGTATGGTAGGTGCTTTGGACTTCCCTTTGGCCTTCTCCTGTGTGTTTCGAACTCTCTGTGATAACATCTAAGTGTTTCTCCACATCATATGTCCTGATAACAGTCCTTAGTTCATCCTCTTTATTACTACTGTGTTTTTTTCATTGTGGTTGAACCCAAGATTGCTATTTTGATAGAAGTTTCACCTTTTTTTTATCATTTTATTTATTCTTTGGGGTGGTAAATGGCCCCATTAATCTAAGTGTTATGCTCCCATAGTCGTTTGTGTTTGAGATTGCTTGCCCAATCCATTCCCTCTTTCCATTATTGTAATTAGTGCTGTGTTTTTTGGTTAAGATAGTAGCATAAACATGGCTGACCCATCTAGTGAATCCACTACTTCTCACCCATCTAAAGGGGAGAGTCCCAGTCCAGTTATGACTACTACTTCTGAGAACCTGAACCCTAGCCTCAAAATCACCACCATTTTGTTTAATGGTCAGAATTACCTTGTATGGTCTCAGCGTCTGACACTTTTTCTGAAGAGTAGAGAGAAGATGGGATATTCCCTCTTTCCATTATTGTGATTAGTGTTGTGTTTTTGATTAAGATAGTAGCATAAACATGGCTGACCCATCTAGTGAATCCACTACTTCTACCCATCTAAAGGGGAGAGTCCCAGTCCAGTTATGACTACTACTTCTGAGAACCTGAACCCTAGCCTCAAAATCACCACCATTTTGTTTAATGGTCAGAATTACCTTGTATGGTCTCAGCGTCTGACACTTTTTCTGAAGAGTAGAGAGAAGATGGGATATGTTGATGGGAGAGTTCAAGCACCAGATATTTTTTATCCTGGATATGATCAATGGGAGATTACCAACTCTTTGATCATGGGGTGGCTCATTCATTCCATGGTACCTGAGATTGGTGAAGGTTATTTATCCATGGAGACTGCCCAGGATGTTTGAGAGGCAGTAGCTGCTACATATTCCTAAAAGGGAAATTTTTCTCAGTCATTTGAGTTGCGCTGGTCTATTGAGCGCTCAGTACATGGAGAACAAAGAGTTCTTCAATATTACACATTTCTAACTAATGGTTGGAAACGCCTAGATTATCTTCTAGATTACATGCCTGTTTGCACAGTTGACTTGGTTACCGAAAGTTTCTTGCCGAAGAGAGAGTCTTCAAGTTCCTAGAAGGCCTCAATGTGGAGTTTGACCCGGTTCAGAATCGTGTCCTTAGCATGGATGTTCTTCCATCTCTTCAGGAGGCCTTTGTTTATGTGCAGAATGAAGAGAGTCATCATTCTGCTATGTTACCATCTAATTCTACAGACCGCTCAGCATTACTTTATGCACCTTCTCGAGATGGGACTGATTTGTCACTTCCTTCTTCTCATCCTTCCAGGAAAGATAATTTGTTCTATGATTACTGTCGCCAGTCGAGGCATACCCGTGAGACTTGTTGAAAGCTTCATGGGACTCCATCAGGGGATCGAGGAGATCGCTCTAGTCATAAAGGCGGGCGTTCTAGTCAGTCAAGAGGATGTAGGTCTCACTCTCGTGCTCATCAATCTAGTGCTGTAGAGACGTATGTTATGAAGTATGGACACACCAAATTTCATGCCGTGGCGGTGCTTGACATGGGGACACACCGAGGACACGTACAGGACACGTTGGGTGGCGTGTCCCTTTAATTTAATTATTTTTTTTGCAGGGGACACGGCGGAGACACGGTGGGGACACGCATGTCCACCAAATCTGGACACAAAGAGCAAAAGAGAAGAGTAAAGGTCAAGAGACAAACCTGGACTTCGATCCAGTCGACCTCCATGACTTCAACCACCGTAAGCCAGTCGACTTCGACCACCATAAGCCCTCGACCTCAGCCTCCATCTAGTCGACCACCGTAAGTCTCTCTCTCTCTCGCCTTCCCTCTCGCTCGCGTCTCTCGCTCTCTTCCTCTTTCTTGCTCTCGCGTCGCTTGCATCTCTCGCGTCTCGCTCTCACTGCTCTGATTCATATGTATAATATATATAGATATATGTATTTATTTAATATTAATAAAAAAGACATATTATGTGTAATATATATATATATATATATCTGCTCTCGCTGATTCATATGTATAATATATATATATATATATGTATTTATTTAATATTAATAAAAAGACATATCTTATATATATATTAATCACAAAAAAAAAAGTAGATAAAATAAAATAAAAAAATTAATAGAAACATATTTATTTTAAAATATAATAATTAAATAAAATAATTAACTTGTATTAAAATAAAATAAAAAATTGCCATGTCACCAGCCGTGTCCGTGTCCATGTCCCCAGCCGTGTCCGTGTCCATGTCCCCATTTTTTTTAAAATTGTCGTGTCCTGAGTCCGTGTCCGTGTCCGTATGTGTGTTTGTGTCCGTGTATGTGCTTCACAGGACGCATGATTCAACTCTGGTTATACAGACTTCTGATCTGGTCTTTGATATGTCATCTTTGGAGTTTGAAGATACTCTACACAATTTGCTTGATCGTCGGTCTCCTGTTCCTCCAGGTGCATTTTCTGCTTCTTCTTTGTTTGCCCGTTCAGGTAACTTAGCCTCTTCTTTTAGTGCTTTCTTATCCCATAAGGCCTTGCCATGGATTATTGATTCTAATGCCTCAGATCATATGTCTGGGTCTTCTGATCTCTTCTCAGACTATACACCAGCCTCTGGTCAAGATAAAGTTAAGATTGCTGATGGTACTATTTCTTCTGTCTCCGGAAAAGGTATAATTCGTGCCACCCCTTCTCTACCTTTGTATTATGTTTTATATGTTCCTAATTTTTCTGTTAACCTATTGTCATTGAGTCGTCTTACTAAAGATTTGAATTGTGGTGCAACTTTTTTCCCTGATTCTTGTCTTTTTCAGGACCTTATCACGAAGAAGACGATTTGCAATGGTAGAACAGAAAATGGTCTTTATATCCCCAATCAGTCTGACCAGTAGGCTTATCATTCCATCCCGTTTCCATCCATCGACGTGTAGAACATCCATCCTTTTTATTACTCAGACATTTATTTCCTTCTGTTTTTATCAAAATAAAGTCTTTGAGTTTCATTGTGAATCCTGCCAACTTGGCAAACAACATTGAGCCTCTTTTGCTCCTAGTAATAATAAAAGTTCAGTTTTTTTTTTTTTAATTCATTCAAATGTTTGGGGCCCCTATCGTGTCATGTCAATGAAAAGTCATCGATTGTTTGTTACTTTTATAGATGACAGCTCTCGTGCTACTTGGGTGTACCTCATGAAAGAAAAAAGTGAAGCTTTTTCTGTGTTTCAAAACTTTCATAAGATGGTTAGTACCCAATTTGGGACAGTGGTCAAAATAGTCCGTTCTGATAATGGGCGCGTGTACATTGATTTTGGGTTGGCAAAATATTTTTCCACTCATGGCATTATCCATCAAACATCTTGCACTGACACCCCTCAACAAAATGAGGTTGCCGAGCACAAGAATCATCATCTCCTTGATATGGCTTGCTTCATATGTTTTTCTATGGGCATACCTCGGGCCTATTGGGCCAAGGCTGTTCCCACTGCTGCATATCTCATTAACTGTCTTCCTACACAAGTCTTACAAAAAAGGGCACCTCTTCAAGTTCTCTTAGGTTGTGAGTCTCTGTTTTCCATTCCTCCAAAAACCTTTGGCTGCATGTGTTTTGTGCACAATCATTCTCCTTCTCGAGGTAAGTTGGATCCTTGTTCTCTCAAGTGTGTTCTTAGGTTACTCTCCCACTTAAAAGGGATACAAGTATGTGTTATCATCCTCCCTCTCGCAAATGGTTTGTGTCTATGGATGTCACCTTCTTTGAGTCTTAATCTTACTTCTTGTCCCATCCAGTGTCCTAGTCATCTCTTCAGGGGAGTCGTAGAGTGAAAAGAGCCCTATTGCTTCTATTATTCCTAACCTAATACCGCCACCAGTGGTACCTATTATTGCTCCAATTGTTCCTAGCCCAATACCACCTCCAGTGATATCTATTATTAACGATACAGAATTCGATGTTGCCAAGAACAGAGAAGGGCAAGTCTATGTCAGGGATAAAGAAAGGCAGAAAGTTACTTGGATACAAGAGACCATTTCTGATCAATCACTGTCGTCTCCTTCTCTTGATGAAGGTCCAGGTAACCCTAAAACTCCTGATATTACTACCTCTGAGTCTGAGCCTACTGATCTTAATATCCCCATTGTCAAGAGAAAAGGTGTGAGATCTTGTACTCATCATCCTATTTCTAACTTTGTGTCTTATTCTCATTCGTCCTCTTCATATAAAGTCTGTGTCAAAAATTTCCTCTGTTAGCATACCTAATCATTTTCAAGATACTCTTATTATTCCTGAGTGAAAACTGGCCATAGTAGAGGAAATGAAAGCACTTCATAAGAATGGCACTTAGGATTTGACTGAGTTACCTATGGGCAAACGAACTGTGGGATGCAAATCAATGTATACTGTGAAGCACAAGGCAGATGGTTCAATTGAGCAGTATAAGACTCGACTTGTGGCAAAGGATTTTACTTAGCCCTATGGAATGGACTACCAAGAGACATTTGCTCATGTTGCAAAAATGAATTCAGCCAAAGTACTTTCTCTGGCAACTAATCTGGACTGGCCACTTCATCAGTTTGATGTAAAAAATGCGTTCCTGCATGGTGACCTAGAAAAGGAGATGTATATGGACATTCTTCCTAACTTTGAAACTCTTCAAACTAAGGGTAAGGTATGTTGACTTCAGAAGTCATTATATGACCTCAGACAGCCCCCTAGGGCTTGGTTTGAGTGATTCACTCAAGCAATGCTAAAATATGACTTCAAACAGAGTCAGGCTAATCATACTCTATTTGTTAAACATTCCTCTCATGGTAAGACTACAGCTCTCATTATATATGTGGATGACATAGTACTTACAAGAGATGATGCTAAGGAAATCCCTTTGTGGAAGAAATATTTGGCCAGTGAGTTTGAAATCAAAGACTTAGGGAACCTAAAGTACTTTCTAGGGATTGAAGTGGCTAGGTCCAAAGATGGAATTCCTATCTGTCAGAGAAAATATATCATTGACTTGTTGAAGGAAACAGGAATGCTTGAAAGTAAAACCTGTGACACACCACTGGAACCTAATCAGAAACTTTGTGATGATAGTGGGGAAGCAACCTTTGATGGGAGGAGTTATTAGAGACTAGTGGGTCAGCTTATTTACTTAGCCCATTCTCGTCCTGATATTGTTATTGTCGTTAGTGTGGTTAGCCAATTTATGTCTACTCCTCATAAAATACACTTGGTGGCAATTATGAGAATTTTGAAATACTCAAAATCTTCTCCTAGAAAAGGTCTTTGTTTTTCCAAATATGATCATCTTACTGTGGAAGCTACAAATGCTGATTGGGTAGGATCAGTAACTGATATGAGGTCCACCTCAGGGTATTGTACTTTTGTTGGAGGCAATTTAGTTACTTACAGAATGTGGTTGCCAGGTCTAGTGCAGAAGCTGAGTTTAGAGCTATGGCACAAGGTGTGTGTGAGCTCTTGTGGATCAAGTTGTTATTTCATGATTTGGGAATTGACCAGAAAGACTTCATGCGGCTATATTGTGATAATAAAGTTGCCATCAACATAGCTCACAATCCTGTTCAACATGACAGGACAAAGCATGTTGAGATTGATCATCATTTCATCAAAGAGAAGTTCACTAGTGGCACAATATGTACTCCATTTGTGAAGTCTGGTGAACAACTTGCAGATATTCTCACCAAGGGAGTTGGCGGTAAACCATTTCATGATATTCTTTGCAAGCTAGGCATGAGAGATATCTTTGCACCAGCTTGAGAGGAAGTGCTAGAATAAATGTTAGGATCATTCTGTTATTTGTTTCCTTATTTAGATTATACTTTGATTCTTTAATTAGTGCCTTAGGACTTTCTTATTCTATTAGTTGTTATTTCCTTATTTGTGCCTCCAAGGTTTCCATTGTAAGCTACCTATTATCAATATAAAAGGGAGTGATTATTAATCATTCTCTGAGTTAGTTTTCTCTCAAATAAACAACAATTCTATTTGCAATGCATTTTCTATCGTGTTTTTAGTTTCCATACCCATTCCACCTTCATTCCAGTTTATTAATTTGCATTATTATGATATATCAATTTGTTAGTCTTTCACCAAGATCAAAGTATACCATGGCAATATGAACTAATAAGTTCTGGGCAAAGCTCAATCAATGTGGACAAGACCATGCGGAATTAACCTCTGTGTGTGTGCGCGCACGCACGTATGTTATGTATATATATGTGTACTGTTTTGCTTATGACTCTATCATTCTTTGTTTAAAAACTCAAGCAAGCCAAATACTGCATCGGAAGTTAGTTAGAACTAGACAAAGTTTCATAATTTTTGAAAAATTAAAATGCTAATTAACTTTATCACCACGAAAGACAACTTCAATATTAAGTTACCACATATGTTTTTAGTTTTCAGATTGGTTCTTTTACCTGGACACCTTAACCACAAATGTACCGAAGTCTATTTATACTATTTCATGAACACAATCTGAACCAAATGCCACTAGAACTATTCCACAAACCAAGTCTGAACCAAATGCCACTAGAACAAGCCCAACCAAACCAAGAGTGGTTTAATCCATTGGTTCTTGGGTTCAACGGCAACTCCAGGAGTTTATGGGGATGGGGTCACTTGATTTCGTAATGATTGCTGAGTTCCACAAATTTTATGAGGAAAAAAAAAAATAAACTAAATAACATTTGAACTTCTCCAGCTTTAAGTAGAATAAACTTGAGGAAATTACCAAAAAAAAAAAAAATTCTTGTAGCGAAAAAATTCCAAAAATTTTTATTTTTTCAATTTAAACCCTAAAATTTTAATTTGTTTTTAATCTAAATCATCAATCTACCTATTTTTGTTAAGTAAAAGTGAACAGAAAAATAGTATTTTAGTCATTAAACTCGACGAAAAATGATATTTTAGACATTTTATGTATACTTATATTAAGTTTAATGATTAAAACATCATTTTCCCATAAGTTTTACTTAACAAAAAAGAGACATGTTTTAGTTTGAAAACAAATCAAAAGGTTATGGTTTAAAGTGAAAAAATTAAAAATTCAAGTTTTATTTTGTTAGTCAAACCTTAGTGTGTCTCTTCTTTTTTTTTTTCTTTTTTTTTCGAATAAACTTTTAATAAAGTCTTCATTAAAATAAAATAAAAATAAATAAACTTTTATAATTGCATTCGACGAGGTGCCATTTTTTGAAATCATTGCATGATGAATGGTTGGATGTGGGTTTGTCCATAAAAGAAATGTGTAAGAGAGGGATTTTGGGTTCCTAAAAGTTTTGACTTCTAATGACTGGGTCCGTATTTTATTTTTTTGTTGGGATCAATTGGTTATTAACCAAAACTTCTAAGGTAAAAAAAATAATTCAAAGCTTGTTGCAGGCTGATGGGTGAATGGGACCCCATCGCTTGCCCTGTGTCATTGCCCCTGGTTGGGTTGCACTTGTTAGATAGCTTAATACACGTTGTTGGGGTACATTTCCTAATAGTTTAGGCTTTTGGGAAAACTAGTGTCTTAACATGGTATCAGAACTCAGGCTGAGCGACATCCTGGGTTCAAGTCTCTCCGTTGGGATTTCATATTCCTTCCCCGTTTGGTTTCTTCTTCTCTGTTTGTTTTTTTTTTTTGTTTTTTTTTTTCTTTTTTTTTTTTTGCTTCTCCTTATGTTTGGTTCTTTGTTTGTCTCTCCATGTGCAAAACAAAGTTGCACGTGAGCGAGGGTTTTAGATAGTTTGATATACATTGTTGGATCCATTTCCTAATAGCTTAGATTTTTGGGAAAACTGGTAACTTTACATCACCAAACCTGATTGCACCCCTTTTAACATAGGTTATTAAGGTGACCAACATAACTAAAACAAAAATGACTGTTGAAAGAAAAAGGCGTCACATATTCCTACTGCAAATTTGGCATTGAATATCCAGGTTCGGCTTGTTACAGCACACACACACACACACACACAGAGACCAAAGCATTAAAGCTACAGTGTGTTAAATATTCAGAAAATTGTTTTCATTGTTAAATAGATTAGAAGTAATACCACTGGAGATGAAAGCACAACACGGTATACTGAGCTCATGAAGTCATGATTTGAACCTGGAGTGAATGTACACAAATTTGATGGCAGAGGAAAAAACCAAGGAGCAAGGTCGTCAACTTCCAAACATTTCTGCAAAACAGGTCAAAAAGAATTACAAATGAAGAACAAATTCTCTCTCTCTCACAACAACCACACACGTGTGCAACTGGGAATTGAACTCTGCACATATCCTACAGAGGTGGCAGCAGACAGCGTTCATGATGCAAACTAGCTCAAAAATAGAGGAAACAGAAGCAGATATAGGACCTCATAATTAGAAATGCATAATCTCCTCAAATGAATAATTTATGGCAGCAGTATGTAGAAGTAGCTGGCTATGATATTTTCATGAGAACAGGAGCAGTGGAATATATTGTTTCATATTTATAATAATAACCTTCCAAAGCAAATAGAGAAGAATGCCTTCATACTGACATTATTATATCTGTACATTGTCACCACTCAATAATAATTTTTCTTCCCGTCTCTTTTTATGTTTTAGCTTTGAAATCATGATCAATATCAAGCCACTAAGAATAGAATTGCTCTCTTTGCACTACGATTTCAAATGGCTACACGCATTCCACTCAATCTTCATTTAAATTTGCCTTTCTATCTGTTTTGTACAAGTAATCTTTAATATTAACAATATGTTGTTTTGATTCACTTATTGAAACGTGAGAATGAAACAAAGTAGAGATTTCAATACCTTGCAATCGACTTCTATAGGCATATTGATGGAACATATCAGAGAGGAGTCCTTTTTGTCAAGATAAAGCACCAGATGTCCATTGAAAATGTCCATGTCTCGTAAGCGGCAATCTTCACTTGGTAAAATGATAGTCTAATATGAAAAACAATAGTAATAAAAAATATATATGATAATAATAATCATGTTGAAAATATATATACTAGTATATTACACAGGTTGGATTGAAGATAAAATTTCATCACCAAAAACAAAGCAACATAACAAGCTAACTACATTCTTTATTTTCCAAAAAAGAAAATCAAGAGTTTGCACTTAATAAAAGAGAAACATTTTACTTGATCCATGGGGTATACTGCCAACTCAAATAACCACACTCCTTATATCTAGAACATCCACCCAAGATAGGCATTCTAACGACATTAGACATATTGCCTTAGTTCCAACTTCCAACTAACTACAGTTAGACACAACAATCCTTGCAATTTAACTTCATCCGATGCCTTCACATTTCCCATCAATCGTTTTTGTCCATTGAAGTCTGTCACTTGATTTTAACCGTTGATTTTCATGTCTTTGACACAGCCTTGAACTAGGCTCCTTTCCAGCAACCTAAATTTGAAGAAAAATGTATGCAACCTGCTAAAGGCTATTACAAACAAGGTTGCTCATGTGACAAATATGCAATCATTGCAAACTTTCAAAAAGCCTTCATTCTTGATTATTCAACACATCCACCAATCCAAACTTGAATTCTGAAATACAAGGATTGTTTGCAAATGGAGTTATCATGCCTACCATTTCCTAATTTGATAACAGCTCAAGGAAGATTATAATCAATCAGTTTCAAACTTACAAATCATATATGCCAAAGAAATAATTGAAAACTAACCTGCCAATGTAAGTAATCCAATCAGCTTGCCAAAAAAAAGGACCCAAGCACTAAAACCTTCCACGAAACTGGAAACTATCTTACATGTGTTGCAATAGATTAACAATTAGCAAACCCCCTCCCCCAAATTATTTTCCTTTTTACTAATTTAAGAATTAATTCTCTACAATCTCGAGTGGGAACTCTACAATTACTTCAAATGTAACACCCCAAATGATGCATGTGCCATGACCACATCCATATCCATCTTTGAATACAATGAGCCCTATTAGCTATCTCATTACATAAAATACTTAAAGTAACGCTTCGAAATGAATAGTTAGGAAGATTTGAACATGTGAATTTCCTTGTTAACCAGTAAGAGTTAGGAAGTAGTCACCTCTTGAACTTAGTAAGAAAGTATGTACCACACCGAAAACATTTTTAGGTAACATGATCGAATACTTTCCCTAATTTAATTACCTTATAATGCTCTAGAGATAGAAATATGAATTGCTAAGAAGAAACCTTAGATGATGAATGCAATTGGTACAGAATTTAGAAGGAATACATTATACATGTGTTAAAACTAGAAGACTTAAAAGCTAGAACACATTTGGTTAAGGAACTTTAAGTGTAGAAATTTTAATGAATACTTGAGAGTTTGGGGATCACTTTGAACTTGAAATTCAAATGTGTAAATGTTTTAGAAACCTTAATTGAGGAGCTTGATAGTCTAAGTCTAATGAGTAGAGTCTTTCAGACATTTTGTCAAAAATTAAGCAGGATTAATTAGACCTCATTAATGTAGCAGTCTGGAATGTAGGGGACCGCTCAAGCGGTGAAGTGAGGCAGCCAGCATCTCTCTCTGCAGGTCTGAGATTCTGAGTAAGAGGATTTTCCGCTCGAACGAAGGAGTAACTGCTCAAGTAGACTTTCCTCTCACACCGCTCGAGTGGTCTATTCGGGATCTGTCGATTTAAAAGTCACTTTTGGCCCGATTTTCTTCACTTTTCAGATCTTTTCTCTCTTCTCTCTCTTTTTAGCCATTTTTGAGCTCCAATTCTATTAAACCTTGGGTTTCATGTCTTTAGAGTGAGAATCTCATCCTAATTCCTTATACCAAAATGTAAAGCATAGCAAGTGTTTCCTTTTAATCTAAGCGAATCGTGTTTTCGTCGAAGTTGGATTTTCAGGTCTTCTCCTCTTCTTGCTTGAGGTGGGATTTCTTTACTTCTTTTCAATACCTCTCTATAGATAGATGTGCGGTACTTTCTATTGCATGAAAACATGAGTTCGATGTGAGATTTTTCAGAAGGCATGTAGGAGAAGTTAGGATTTTGAACTCAATATGTTCGAGTTTATGGTTTATAGTTGATAATGGAGATTTTGGGACAAATGGAATGGAACATATCAAAGAGATTTAATATAAAAAGCCCTAATTTTGGTTATCTAATGAATTTGAGATAAATTGTTGTTTTAAATAGTTGTTGGATTGTATTGATTAAAGTGAACTAAAAAGGTAAGATGGGTGGATAATAAAATCAAATGGTTATTATGAATTGATTCATACTATGTTATGGAAAAAGGGAGAGTTAAATGAATTTTTGTTAATTTTGATTCTGTCACAAACATTGATGATATGGAAATGTAGAAGTGTCTTGATGATCACATTGTGTTGTTAAAAGAAATATTGTTGCTTTCATCTTGTAGGGGTTTTGTCCTTGGCCATCAATGGAGGATAGTATTGATCGTTATAGAATACGTTATATGTGTAATGTGATGTCAATTTAATTTTTATAATTGAAATGATGGAGTATATGATGAGATGGTGGATTGAAGTTCTTGAAAGAGCGTCCGTTTCTCTCCGGCTTGTAACCTGTAAAGCGTGACACATTGACAGAGGTTCAGCTTTCCTTCCGGAGTAACACCCGGTAAAGCGTGTGGAGAGTATTGGGCTATATGGAGGTTCCGCTTTTCTTCCAGCTAGTGACCGGTAAAGCTTGGCACTTTGAGATACGTGCCAGATTTCCTTCCGAAGTAGCGCCCAGTAAACTGTTTTAGAATGGCTTGACGAAGCCGGTTGTTAATTATGCAATATTTGTGTTTAGTTATAAGTTTATGCGGATATGTGTGACATGGTAGATTGTGTTAGAGATATAAATGTGTGTGATATTGGAATAATTGGGTAGTAAATGAGAGATTATGGTTGTCTGTATGATAGGTGTTGGTAGGTTCCATTGGTGCCGCATGAATTATAAAAGTTGGCAGGTCATAGTATAATTATTGTGTCAGGGTTAAAAGTTAGAATGAGTGTATGATTGATTGATTGATTTAAAAACCTTTTTCCCAAAATAAAGGAGTTTTGAAGAATTTCTCTTGAGTCGTAATTTTGATGATATGAAAAGATAACAAATGAGTTTTCCTTCAAATGTCAAATGAGATTTTAGAGAAGAAATTATATATTTATGTATGTTTAAGTTTGGATATAAAAGGGCAGATTATCTATTTAGTTATCACCAAATTGCATTCATGATCACATATATCTATAAATCTTATTGTTTTAAATTAATGTAAATCCCTAATGGACCTTGTGTTCATCCCAATTGTTAAACCATTTTCAGGTGCGGAGTTGGACGTATCGTCGAGACTCAAGAAGATTGTTTTATCGTGTATTATGATTTGTTTATTGTGAGTTAGAAGTCAATGTATTGCAAAGGGGATTATATTCTTGTTATTGTAATTATTTTTATTATGAGATTTTCAATGCAAGCCTAAGGGCATGCGTTGTAATTATTGTGTGAATAGTCTATCATAGCACTTATGTGCACTTATGCGAGAGAAGACATTAATTATTTCATCCAACATATTTTGCTTCTATAATTATATTATGGAAATGGACTTTAATAATAGAATTTGATAATGTATTCGGTCAATAAAATTTAGGGCGTTACAATTGAGATTAATTAGACTAATGATGATTGAGGACTAATTGAGGGATTAGGATAACACTTCATCCTTGAGAGACAAGTGTCCCACTTCTTGATTAAATAAAATATATATATATATACAAACAAAGATAGGGCTTAATTTTAGGGGGACAAGTGTCCTCCCTTATATAATAATATGAAATTGAGAAAACGAAGAGAGAGAGAGAGTTGCTGGAATTCTCTGAAAATCCTTAGAAGAGAGAGAATAAGAAGAAGAAGAAACCATGGAAAGGGCTTCAATCCTTGGACCAAAAATTCAATAAGAATCACCAGAAAGTAAGGTTTTCAACGTCTTTCACATGATATATATTAACCAACAAACAAATGATTTGGGCTGAGCTTGAATAAAGATTTAATGGAAAAGATGGAAGGAAAATGAATTAGAAGCAAGGGCAAAGGAAATTTGGGTAAAATCCACCATTTTGCATGATTTAATCCTAAGTTTTTGTGTAGAATTCTTAAACCATGTAATATTATTCTTACACCTTTGTAAAAATAACAAGTTAGGAAAGGAATTGGCTTAAAATGATTAAGACAAAAGTGAGCAGCTGCTATTAATTCGACCATATTTCTTTTTATAGTTGGAATTTGGATGAGACCACTACCATTAGAAACTAGACTTCCGGGACTTAAATTTGGACTCAAGAATCGCCGAAAATTGAGTTTGGATGAGGGAGATAAGACCATTTGAAGTCAGACCATGAAGGTTGTCACGCCAGTGACCACACATGCGGCCAACACAAAATTCAGCGTTGCATAAGCTCCGCATGTGCGGCCAATAGAGCATTTGGGCCGTTTTGTTTCCTTTTCACCTTTTTGACTTACAAGGCCTCGTTTTGCTTAATTGGAATATGAAATTAACTCTAATGAGACTCTTCGAAACAGACTAGCAAAGAGTGTCAGTAAAGAATAATGAAAGCGTGAAGCTCAAGCACACACTTGGATTAGAACCGAAAAGAGAAGTATTATATCGCCTTAGACCGTATTTCATTGAATGCTTGTATTGTACTTGTGTAGGTTGAATATTTTAAAGTTATGTTCAAACTTATGTTTTGGAAAATCAAACTATGATATCTTTGATATACACTGAAATGTTTCATCATGAATGGATATCCTATGTTTTTCTGAAAACTATATACATATGGCATCCTCGGATTAGTCCTACTCATTTGGAGACCGTAAGCATGCCAATGACCATCAATTGAGATCTCCTCCGCCACCTGTAGGTAGGCTTGTTTAATCGGTATCCAGGCCAATTAACCTGATTCATTTTGATTAAAGTTCATGAAATGATACGCTTTGAACCGTATGGAATTTTTATACGAATAAGCTATTGTTTTGGAAAAAGCTATTGAATGGGCTTTGGCTCACCCCCACTCTCTTATATGTCTGTAGGTGAAAGAGACAAGTCATGGAAGGTTTTGCTTCTTAAAGTTATATGTAAATGTTTGTGAGAAGAAATTTGGGAGAAGAAAAATTGTACTTAGCTTTGGAAGAAATGCTATTTTGAAAAGTTGTACTCCTTGTAAAAGAATTAAATAATGTAATCAAGAATGATGAATGTTTCATTTCATATAGTTATGCACTACTCTGAATGAATGTTTCAAATGGACTCAATTAAAGAAATTAATGGCTTTCACAACTTAAAATGAAAATTTGCCCCAACTATCACAAGAGTGCAATTAGTTTTGTTTAGTTAGGCCTTCGGCAGTCTACAATTACAGGCCAGTCACTTCACTATCCTGTTTAGGTCAGGATGGGGTTGTGACATCAAAGACTTTACGCACATGTTTTACATTCTACAGTGTTATATGAATCTTGACAGTGATATTTACATGACAATGCTTGGCAAAGTATAGAAAATTCCGTCTTGATGTATACATACACAGAAGAAAATAAAATTTACCTGCCAATTACCGAAGTGTGTGTCTTTAACTTGGCATCTACCCAAGTAATAATTTTCATTTGGGGACTCCTTATCCTCACTCAAAGAAGCATTGGTTAGAACATAGAAAAAACCAGAGTGATGTTCCAAAAAGTACTGTACACCAGGGACACGCTTGCATAAGCTTCGTAATCCACCTTGCATATTGATTGCATCTATGGCATAAACCTGTATGAAACCACCAAGATATAAATATGCAAGGAGTTAAAATATTTACACGCACATTAAGAAACAAAAATAATACAGATAAGTTCCTTCCTCAGATGAAGTTCTTGAGTTAGAATTCACAGTTATGAACTTGCCGTCCTTTGTGCTTGTGATGTCCACACAGAAGCTGGAATCATTTTCTGTAAATATTGGAACATCAACGACAGAATCTGATCCCAGATTTGTGCATAGCACCCTGGTTAACTAACAAATACGTGAGAAAATACCCAGAATGAAAAGTCCAATTTAAAATAATAAGAATAAAAATAAAAAAGAGTTAGAGACTTTGCCTGTAGGGTCGTTGGTTCTCGTCCGATACTGTATAAAACAATGTACGACCATCTCGAGCCCATTCCAAGCTAACAACCCCATCAACCCTTAATTTTGGAAGAATATACATCGTTCTAAGGTCTTTCACTTGAAGTATGAACTTTTCACCACCAGTTATATCAAGTGTGTATGCAAAGAGGTTGTGGTCTGGTGACACACGACATGTGCCCACATGAACATACCCTAGGACAGTGAAAAAAATATAAGAATTTTGAATATAATTTACAAATTAATATTTAGAAAGAAATTGGCATGCGGATATCAAAAGGATGGCAATGATTTAATTTACTAAATATATTCCTGATCCACAAGCATGGAAATGATTCCAAATCAAGAGTTTGAGACCAACATAAAGAACACAAACACAAAGATGTAATCAATCAATATGCTTAAATGATATGCGACACGTGCCCTCACGAAAATTCCCTAGGGCAGTAAAAAAAAATTATAAGAATTTTGAACACAATTTACAAATTAGCATTTAGAAAGAAATTGGCATGTGGCTATCAAAAGAATACTAATCTAAAATTTAATTTACTAAAATACATTAATGATCCACAAGCATGGCAAAGATACGAAAATAAGAGTTTGAGACCTACATGAAGAACACAAACACAAAGATGTAATCAATATGCTTAATGTTGGCTTTAATGTTTACATCTGACTACACAGAATTTTGTTAAATAAAACATGGCAAGTCAAGAACACATGTTTTATGCTAAGTTGGACTCAACAGAGATAACTGAAAATAATAATAATCAAGGAATTCATGCCCATATTATCAATCAATTGAATGTCAAGTTTCACACCAATTTGTATTACCCTATTACTGTACTACATATACAAAAAAGGCACCTAGGCTTCCTGTACTAAAATATACATAAGAAGCAAGACTGCCAATGTACATACAAAACCTGCAAACAAGAAATAATTCTTCTTGCAAATAAGAATGTAAGAAGGAAACTTACCATACTGTTCTGCAATTTCATTCCAATCAAGTAAAATTTCCTCCCTCCCAAATCTTCCTCTCACATAATTGACAACAGTCTCCACCCAACCTTTGTTTTCGGTTGCTAACCTCCTACATAGAACCGGGTATTCCTTACCCACTGGAATGTATTGGTAGTACAACCTGTTCAACCGAAGAAACAACCAATTTATATATAACACCACTATCAATGCATGAAAAGTGTTTTCAAATTAGTGATAAGTATCTTGTAGTCTTCATTTCTTTTTTTCTTTTTTGTCTTTTTCTTGTACCCCAAGGACACTTTTTAGCAAGACCCTTTTACAAAAGATAGGTATATGCATATCTACATATACATAAGGGCATCTCCAACCTTTACCCAAATCTCTACTCCAACTTAAATTTGAGTAAAACGCCACTAAAATCCCCTCCACTCCTTTATTCAAACCTCCAATAAAATATAAACACACGTGTTCCAAATTTTCATTTACTCCAACTCCTAGCATCGACTCAAAGCTTGACACTTGTAAGCAGGTGGATGAGTATTAGGCCATCTCCAACCCTCAATTTATACTTTTACTCAAATTAAGCACAATTGAATTGCACCACAGGCTAATCTTCATATTTATAGCACACATATATGTATATAAACAAACACAATCACAACTCATCAACTAATCTAGAAAGCAAAGCAATGAAAGAAATTATATCTACGCAGATACATAGAAGCAGAAATATGAAATGGGGTTTTGAAGGAAGGAAGGAAATGAACAGACCAGGGTCCCCAACGTTGAGGGGGAGTGGAAACCTGGGGTGGCATTCGGGTTGTGATCTCAGAAAATAGAGTGTGCTGTAGTTTGAGGGTATCAGCCATGAAAGCTTGAGCATATGAGTTTTCTTGGTTGAGGTAATCAATGAAATGAGGATCGTTGGTGTTGCGCATCCAATGGTAGGGGTCTTCCAAAGTCCTCCCATGGACTGAGACTGATAAAGGGACTTTCTTTGGGGAAGACGGAGGAGGAGGAGGAGTCACTGTCACTGAGATGGGTTGGCCACTTCTTCTGCAGCAGAGGGAAGAGAAGAAAGAGCAAGAGCGGAGAGTGAAGGACAATAAACTCCACTTTCTAATTGACCTGCCGCCGCTCACCACGCCCAAACCCATGGCTACATCCAATCCAACCGCACCTTCCAACCTTATTTATAGCTCACCGCAGCAGTGGCATTTCTGTTAATAATCATACTTTTGTTATGAAAAATGTTTGGGACCTTTTGGTTGACCTCAGACAACGGCGGCTTCTATATACACACACCTAATTCTCTCAATGCACACATTTAATGATATTTAATTTTATTACAATTTTATTTCTAAGTGAAATTATCATTTTAGACTAATTCTCTCAATGCACACATTTAATGATATTTAATTTTATTACAATTTTATTTCTAAGTGAAATTATCATTTTAGACATCATTGTTAATTGAAAACATTTCAATGCACACCTCAGAGTTCACATTGATGCATCGTGTATGTAAGCCACTGGTTTGGCATGCTTCTTTGAAAATGGCTTTAGCATTTCTGTAGGGTTTTCATTTTTTACAAAGGGCTGTGGCATTTCTGTGGGAAAAATATCATTGTGATGGAGGATTTGTCTTCTAAAAATCAGCAAATAAGTATTCATGTGAAGCAGAGCGAAGGAAATATGAGTTTAATTTATTTTTTTTTTCGCAGCGTCGTTCGGATAACCAGAGCCGAATTTTGTTATTTTGTTCGGAAATGTACTACCGAAATAATTATGTATTTTCGGAAGTTGATGTCCGAAAAATGTGATAAATTTCAGAAGTTGTTGTCCGAAAAATGTATTCAAATTCGGAAGTTGTTGTCCGAACAAAGTTAACTTGTACAACATTCAATTTCCGAAATTTGAAAAAAAAATTCGGACAACTACTTTCGAATGAAGTAATTTTTTTTTTTCCATTTTATATTCCAAATTTGCAAACTGCATACCAAATTTACAGTTTCAAATTGCAAATTAATCTTTATAATGCCATTAAAAATTTGTAATGTTATACAAAACATGCAGGAATATGTGTCAACTCAAGGAAGTCAGGTTTGCGCGGATTTTGTGTTAGATTACACCACTCATTTCACAACTGAACAGGTTCAGTCTACGAAATTATAACGATTATGTTTTGAATTGCTCACCAAATGTAAATGTTTGATAATATTTATTTAACTTTGTAGGTATTCAAAAGTAAGGATGAATTGCTCAACTGGGTACGTGAAGTTGGAAAGAGAAATGGTTTGGTCATTGTAATCAAAACATCAGACTATGGTGGAGGGAAAAAAAGACCCAGATGGCTCATCTCATACCATGAACATGAAAGAGTAGAAAACCATTGTACGGAAAGCATTCAACAATCACAGAAAGCAGAATACTTGAAGAAATAATGGAAAAATATATTAGGAAACTTCTTGAGAACCATACAGCTGTTCAAACCATTACATAAAAGAAAACCATAAAGAAAACCTATTTACTTGGCTAGGGTTTCATTAAAACCCTAGAAATAGGAGCCTAGCCACTCATGGAGGAATAAAAAGAAGTAGAAGAAGAAGAAGCCTCCATGAAATTATCCTTGAAGCTTGAGAATCCCCTCTCTTCAAACCCTAGCCTCTCTTTTTCCTTGAAATATTTTCGAACCCTAAAAGAAGCCTCTTTTCATTTTTTATTCCTAGCAGAACAGACTTCAATTTTTGCGCACGCAACACTAGTTGGGCTGCCCGAGCGGTGGTGGGCCGTAAGTACAATAGAGCTTGGCCGCACATGCAGTGAGGTAGCAGGCCGGTAATTTTCACTACTTGCACAGAGAATCTGCTTTTGCAGTACATTTTGCTTGAATTTGCGTGTTGCCTGCCAAATCTGTACAAGTGCACAAAACACATCATA